AAGATTGGCTCTAACCTCTAAGTCTGTAACTTTTTTTTTCTTACATTTTTCTGCCCCTACAGTTCTCTTAGGGTCATGACTTCTCATTTGAGGGCATGTATTTAAAATGTGTATTTCAGAAGACCACCTTTCTCTGAGTTACCATTCAGTCTTAGATGGGAATCCAGTGAAAAGAGGGAGTCATATCAGAAAGGGCCTCTTTGAAGAGCTGTGAGGTGGTCACTGGGAGAGTGTGGTGGGGTCAGTGTTCTCGTACCTGTCACACAAAACCAGAAGTAGAAGCTAAAGAACAGAGGGGCCTGAGTTTCTAGGTTAGCACCCTCTCTCCACTTCTTAGCCCCACATTCTTCTGTGGAACAAATCCCCCTAAATGCAATAGTTTCTCAAAAATGGCCAAACCATTCTGGTCTCAGGATGTAGGATGGAAATCTTTGAAGATCAGGCAAAGTATTATACAATTTGGTAACTCTTCATGTCTTCTAGAACTTGAAGTATAAGGGAGGGCATTTTCTTTCTTGAAGGAATTTTCTCTTCTAGTTCTGGCCAGCATGAGAAAACTGAGAACAACTATCTATTCATTTGTGGTTCTTTCACTAACAATAAAATACTCTCCCAACAGAAGGATTTAATTTCAGCAGCAAATAACTTCAAAATGACTCTAAATGAGGTCCAAACGGGTCTCAATTTGACCTCAAATCGAGCAATGGACATACTACAATATTGATAGGAGACTCTGGGAAATTCTAGCACCACACGATCCAGTTTTGTTCAAACATTCTCTTTGTTGATAGGATATGGTTTTACCTTGTCAGATATATTTCCAGATTGATTCATTATGAGGTAGATTAGGTGGCAGCTTCTCTTAGTCTCACCGTATTCCTCATTTGGTTCTCACCAATTCCTATTCATTTTTTGCCTTGTGTTATACTCTACTTCATGTCATGTAGAGAAAGAAGAAAATTCTGGAAGGTGTATATTAGCTGTCCCTTGAAGGATACACACACACACACACACACACACACACACACACACAGCTCCATGCTGTTAGTTTCTTTGGCTTTTACAGAAGTGTTGGTGGCTTCAATACTCTTGGGCTAGATATTTGATAAAAAAAACTACACTAAGGTTTGAATAGGCAGTATCGCATGAAAAAGAAGGATCTGTTAGAAGGACAATGTTTTTACCATATCTCAAAAATAAGATTATAAGACCACCAATGTGTTAAGGCCTTATAATCTTTGTCTATCTATCCCCATTTCTCCTGAATCAGCTCATTCTATTTCTGTGATCTTAGAAAGAAGATAGTGGCTGAGAGTGTTTCTTTGGAGTGTCTGCATTTTGGTTTCTCCACTTACCAATTGCATGGGAAAGTTACCAACTTCTCTAAGCATTAATTTTCTTATCTGCAAAATGGGGATACTAGTCATCTTTACTTCATATTAATTATTATCATGAGGATTAAACAAAGTAATGCATATAAAATGCTTAATGCAGCACCTGGCATAAAGGAAGTCCTTAATACATACATACTTTACTTTTTTTTTTACCATGTAAAATATACATAAAGTTTACCATTTTAACCACTTTTAAGTGTACAGTTCTGTACATTAAATACATTCTCATTGTTGTGTGACTATCATCACCATTCATCTCCAGAATGTTTCCAGCTTCCCAAACTAAAACTGCATATTCATTGAACAAGTCCATTCCCTCTCCCCCTGAGCTCCTGGAGACCATCATTCTATTTTCTATCTCTATGAATTTGACTTGGGTATTAATTTCATGTAAGTAGAATCAAACAATGTTTTTTTGTGACTGAGTTATTTCACTGAGTATCATGTCTTCAAGGTTCATGCAGCTTGTAGCATGGGTCAGAATTTCCTTCCTGTTTAAGGCTGAATAATTTTCCATTGCATAAATACCTATACAGTATTGTATTAGTCAGAGTTTCATTCTAGCCACCGAAAAATATGATTTCATTTACTTACTGGCCAAGACACCGCTTCAGTGGGGATCAATATTGCTCCTAGTCAAATGATAAGAAATGCAGGCTTATGACTGAGGAGTAAAATTCTAAGGTCACCTTTAAGTTCTTTTCTCCACCAGTGTTTATAAAGTCTCAGTTAGGACATATCTCACTTTCTTCATGGTAAAGAATGCCTATATCCAGAGGAAGAAGACAGGTATTTCTGTACTCAGATATGCAGGTAGAGGGAAAAGATTTGGAGAAAAAGAGTAGGGAAAATTTTGAAAAAAAAATCTGATGTTAAGTTTTAGAACAAAAATAAGAACAAGAGAAGGAAGAGGAAGACCAGATAGAAAGAACAGGGCAAACTACTTGGACAGATAATCCAAAGATGGTTGTACCAATATATCTCCCATCTCACATTCTCTTCTTACAATGTGGTGTTTACATTCCTTCATCAAGAGGTAGGGTCTAAAAAAAAAAAAAGAGGTGGGGTCTATTTCCCTACCCCCTCAACCTGGGCAGAGGTTTGTAAATGTCTCACCCAGTAGACTAAGATGAAGGTGACTGGATGTGACTTCTGAGCTTTGGTCAAAAAAGTGTTATATGTTTTGCTTTGGATCCCTCAAGCAGCCCTTATGGAGACACTGAGCCTAGAGCCAGCACCAGCCTGCCAGCCAAGTTAGTCAGCCATCTTGGAAATGCACGTTCCAGCCCCACTCAAGCTTCCCAGTTTTCAGAGGGCTGAGAACCCAGCAGACATAGTACTACAACCTTATGAGACTCCAAAGTGAGAACTGCCCAGTTGAGCTATTTCCAAACTAACAAAAACCATAAAAAATGAGAAGTGATTATTGTTGACTTAATCCACTGTTTGGGGGCATTTTTAATGCATCGATTGATAAATTATATAGTTACCTTCTCTTACCATTCAGTATCACACAATGATGGGCATGAAGTAGCTCTCCTTTGAGAAGACTTAAAGGCATCCAAAGTGCTGCAGGCATCTATTGCAGGCCGGGCCAGTGCAGGCCAACTGTCAAGTCTTTTATTTCCATGAATACATCACAGGCAGGTAGAAGTGGGCAGCTGGAGTCTGAAATGGAATATTTAGCCTCAGAAATTTATGGCCTGTTAGTTGGGCCATCAGCATACATGGACTATTTAAAGAATAGGCAAAAAAGTATACTTATAAATTCAACAGCTATCACTCAGCAAGGGAAAATAAACCTTGATTAAACCGGAGAGGAGATTCTTCCTAAGGTAGACTGATATTTTTCCTAGGTTCCTTGATACTCAGGCCTTTGCCCTCTGCTAGGCGCTCTAATTCAGAACACATCTTTATTTTTAGTTTTTTTAAAAAGGATATTTATTTTAGAGAGAGGGAGAGTGAGCAGGGGGAGGGGCAGAGACAGAGGGGGAGATAGAATCTCAAGCAGACCCCTGCTGAGCATGGAGCCTGACACAGGGCTCAATCCTACGACCCTGAGACATGACCTGAGCTGAAATCAAGAGTTTAACTGACTGAGCCACCCAGGCGCCCCAGAACACAACTTTAATAATGGCTTCAACAAACCTTTAGGAGCATTTGGACCCTTTCTTTCAAACAACGGTTCTAGAATATTTCGCCATAATGGTGTACAGGTATCCCCCACTTTCTGAAAGTTCCTGTTACTTCCCTTTGCTTGTCACAAAAGACCTACAGTGGTACTTGGTTTTGCTTCAGAAAAAATCTGAAGATTTTCGCTTTTACAAAAAAGAAAGCAAAAAGCAAAAATGGCATTTAGCATTTGTTTTGCAGTGAGCCTTACAGAGGCAGCATGCACGCAAGTGAGCTGAGAGGGGCCCCACCAAGCTCCTTCCCCAGGGACTACACTCAGCATCTCAGCATCAAGCCATTACAGCTTTGAACCATGTCTGTGCTTTATCTTGACTGATTTTGTGCATCCGTTAGCAAGATGTGTCCTGAGGTATCAGAAAAGTCTGAGAGAGGTTGTTTTTGGGGTCTGGGAATGCTCAGATAATTTTCCATATAAATTAATGGTAATTGCTTCTTTGCATTATGCCATTTGGGCCTATGAAAAGTTTCATGAGCATACTCCATTGTCAGATAGCAGGGGGAGACCTGCATTTTGAAGAGAACAGTTTAACCTGATGAAAGAGTTAAGCAGTGGGAAGGGCTTTGGCCTTGGGGTCAAGAGATTTGGATTCTAGTCTTAATGTGTTCACCAGCACTAACTGTGATTTTCAGCAAGTCCCTGGGACTTCAGTTGTTTTTATTCTGTGAAATAGGAGATTTCATCCGATGTCTGAAGATTTTTGCAACTCTATGACTCTAGGATTCAGAAGATTTCCCAGTGATGAAATGTCTCCCCAGACAGTAACTGTGTCTGTTCATGAAATGTATCTGTATAAATTGGGGCATATTTCAGCAAACTTCTAGACCTTAAGAGTGCACGGCATTTAGGAACACTGAGTAAATAAATTTAAAAACACACAAGCACACTTTTATTGAAATTGAAGAGTGTTTTGCCAAAAGTCGTTTGGTTCATGATCATAAATACTTGCATGTGTCCTATCATTGCTTGAAAAGGATTTGTATCTTGTGCTTAGTGCTAGAACACAATACAGTTATATTTCTGTTCGGTTTCCCTGGTATATAGTTTACTAACCCATAGCTTGAAGTCATCCATACTTGTGGTTCTGCCCATATGCCCCCACCTTGGACGATTTATCTTCAGGCAGTGTTGTTTTGGTCAGCCTAGCTGAGCCAGTACCTGGCTGGGCTTGTCTGCTCCAGGTTCGCCTTGGAACACCTAGCCAGATTGCTCACTGTTGGTGGGATGGAAAGGGGAGAAAGAAGGAAACAGGATGGACTTACCAAGACCCAGCTCTTGCAGCTCAGTAATAACACTGCACTTGATCAGTAAGGAACGTTCCAGATGACTGGTATTCTCCATATGAAAGTACTGTTGGGAGACAGCCCAAAGTTCTCTTGAAAACAAATCTGCACCACACACCAGCAGGCGTGAAACCAAGATTTATTAAAATATTCTCATCATATTTACATTTGGAAGCCATGAGTGCAGTTCTCTGCAAATTCCAAAAAATAGAGTTCTATCTCTTAAAACAAATTACAGAAGTATCAACAGATTAGGATAAATATGATCTATCACAGAGATAGAATTCTTTGAATAGACAATCTACATTTCCTAACCAATATGTTATGTACAAAAATACACTTGATGTGGTGACCAAATAGTGTCAAGGAGAAAAAAAAAAAAAAAAATATATATATATATATAGACACACACATATATTTTCATTATGTACAAGTCAATATTGGTTCCTTCACCCTTTCTTTTTAAAAATAAATACTTCATTTGGTTGCAAATGACATTTATAAATCCAACTAATGAACATTTCTCAGCTTTGACAAAATTAAATATGCAAATTAGAAATACATATTTTTAAAAATTTAAAGGGAAAAATACCTGAATCCAATTAGCTTATTATATTAAAAAATGTTCAAGAGCATGTAATGTAAGGTTTCATGTCTTTAAAGTGCCTTCTCGTTTCCCAAACTGTCTTCATTATTGCTGAAAATTTAAGATTACATCTACAGATTGATCTAATATTTAACAGAGAAGCCAAATTTTTCCAGGTCCAAAGACTGATTACTCAGGACATGCTTACCCTTTCTTTTTAAGCACTTTCAAGAGTGTAACAGTTACTGTTGATCTGAAAATAACCACAAATTGTCAACATCCTGATCCAGATTCATGTAGATGTTTGGATCATGAGTAGTAGTAAGAATGGGGTGGCAATAAAAAGCCTGTGATTCAAACTGTTTGCACAGAATTAAGTCAATTTGTCCAGCAGCACAGAAAAGTTCCTTCAGATTCAAAACTTTAGTCTTACTCATCCTAGATGGTGAGACTGGACTGATTTATAACTTATCAAAGGATGGTCCCTAATTAGACAGGCTTAAAGTACAATCTAGGAGAAACTGAAATGGCCTAGAACCCTCCCTTCGAAGACCTTCTTAAAATAGAGAATAAGACGAAAAAAGAAATGTATTTTCCATCTCTTTTATGGATTTTTCCCTCTTTGCCTAAGTGATGAGGTGATGCTGACATTAACAGGAGGCAGTCACAGTGCTGTGTCTCACTTGGTGACAGCAGAGCACCCCGTCCAAAGGGCTGGGGAATGGCGCAACAGGCTTGAGGGGAGGGAGGGAGGGGGTAATTAAGGCTGGATTCTGGAGAAACTATAAAGGTAAAGTGAGGGGAAAAGCCGTGGGCTCTGAAGGAAGGGGAGGCCAAAGCACAAGTACTGAAGTGAGAAAAGTGACATGAAGTAGGTGCCACAGTGAGTTTTGGACAGGCGTGGACAAAACAGGAAGACCCATGCACAACCAGCCCCATGGGAATGAATCTGAACACAGGCCAGTTTCACTAGGGTACCTGCTTTCCCAGCACATTGTCAGGCACTGACCAATAGGAGATACTGAACACTCCCATTTGCCTGATGAGATTCCTGGAGCTGCCACTGAAAGGTCATCCATGATATAAGCAAGGCAAAAATCACCAGCCTCCCAACAGCACATTAGACCAGCAAAACATTGCACCCTGGCCGCCATGTTCAAAATTTCCTTCTCCCCGTCTCCTGCTCTACTCCCACATCCCATCGCTTACAATCTCCCAAGACCCTATGGAGACATCACCGCATGGATCAAATGCATCTTAGGAAGCAGTGTCTGGGGTCCAGGGTGTCACTGAGAAAATTAAGCCCTAAAGGACTTGAAGTAATTTACATTTGTTAGGCCTGATTCCTATTAGGATGCTGACTGATTTCACTTAGGTTCTGGGCATGCAGCTCAGTGCTGATTTTCCAGGCCAAAGCACGATCCCCTAAATCAAAGTCCAGGGGCACCCTGCTTCCCATGCTAGTCTAAGTTAAAACTCAATGAGAGGAAAAAACTATGAATCAATGACATGTTTTCTCTAAAAAAAATTGTTCAATTTTGAATTTTATAAGTTTCTGCCTTTTTAGGAGGGTTTTAGACTCTTCTTTAAAGGGAAGTCCTTTTTTCATAACGCTTATATTCTTTGAAGATTATATATTTTACTAACAGTAGGGTCACATTATTTGTGTCTTGAGAAATTGAAGCATTACAGAATTGTAAAATTAACGATTTGGGATAGACCTATCCTTTTGGTGGACCCCAAAATCCTACGTACGTCACTCTGGACAGACAGGAGAATTACACTACTTTCCCCTCACTCACAGATTTGTTTCCAAAGGAAATGGATGTCTTTGGAAGAGTGCAGTCCCAGTGAGGCTGAAACCACCTTCTTTATGTGTTGGGGGTCAGATATGAAAAAGTAAGATTATAGCCAGGAACAAGTTGTCAAGAAGAAAGGAAAAAAAAATGAGCTACTTACAGTTCACTCAAACCTATCGAAGATGTAAAGATTTTGAATATCCTTCTAGCCTCTTATTGGGAAGAGTAGTACAATTTTTGTATGCTACATACCCATTTTTTTGCCTCTCATAGAACCCTGGAATTCAAAATCATCCCAAGAGTTCCCAGAGAGTTGTTCATTCCTGAACACATTTATTGTCCATGCCATGGGGAGGTAGAGAATAATTTCCTTGTATACTCGGTGTCTATGGAACTAGCCTTTCATTTTGGAAAGCTGGCCCAGTTGAATAAATGAAAATACATTTGTTTCATGAGACAAGAATAGAAGCAAGCTCTGGAAGAGGATAATGAAGGAAAGGAAGTACAATTTTGCCAAAGATGTTGACAAACCACGGTGAATGCACGCCTAAGAATGAATGCAGGAAAAGTATAAGATAACATATTGGGGGCTCCCACTATATATATGGGGAGAAATACTCACTCTCTTGTAAGACCTCCTTACAGTTTCAAAGACAGAGAGCCCCTTGGTGTCTGCACAGGTAGAATTTAGGGAAATGCTCAGCCTACAAAATAGCCTAAATATAATAGAAGTTGCTTACTCCATGGAGAAGAATGACAAATTTTTGGGAGGTGAATTTCTGCTGGAAACTATGGGCTCATTTGCGTTTTTCTAGCCCAATGCTATCAAATTTCACACAAAGCATAAAAAAATAGCTCCCAGAACTATTTGGGTTAGCTTTCAGAAAAGGAGGCAGACTGGTGTTTCTTAGTACATTTAAGAGAAGATTAAAAAATAGAAAGTTATATGAGCATAGATGGAATACAGAAGGATAAATTAATGGTGTTAGCTACCACTTTCCTATTAAAAAAAATGAGATTAAGTTGTTCTTCTCCAGATCATAGAATGCAGACAAAATTCATGAACAAGTACTTCATAGATGTAATATGCAATAAAGTCTGGAGTTCATTTGAGCTCCTGACTGAAGTGAACCATCATACCAGATAAGAGAAGGATGAAAAGGAGAAGGTTTTTTTGTGTTACTAGTTATCACCAGGCTGGCTGAGAGAGGGGCTGGAGTAGAGGGGAAGCGAACCTAGTAAGCTCTCCTTGAGGACAGTTGGTCTCCTGACTGAGGCTTGATTTGCTTCCTTAACATCTCTGCTGGTAGAAGCTGCACGAGGGTTTTAAGAGACAGAGTTAGATGGCTGCCATTTTAATATCTTCACATTTCCAATTAAGTTGTCAACTACACAAATTTCCCAAATGCTAGGTTTATATCACAGTGTTGATTAAGAGTCTTGGCACAACTAAGGCTACTGAATTGGCTTCAACCCTGCATGTTAAAATGCTCTTGAATTCACTCCTTCACAGCAAAGAGTTGATTTGGGAGGGTTTGGTAGATTGCCCACTCCTTGGAAGGGGAAATGAAGAATTGTGAAACTAGCATTCAGTGCTCTAACAAGGTGTCAACAACTGACGTGTGTGTAGAAATGACATAAAATGGGCCTCTTGGTCACACTCTCAGCTGTGAGTAAGAGCCTAGTGATGCCTGGATTCAATTGCTAATGGGGTTATAAATACTGTGATGCGTGTCTGCAAGCAGCCAGCCATGCGGAGGCCAGTTTCCAAAGGTGCTTTTCTTTAAGTGACTTTTGCACCAATAATAGGGAAGGTTCCAAGCAGCTGGATTGTTTTTCTCTGTAGCTAGAAGGTGGAAACATAACCAAGAAGTTACTTGCATTGTGGCAAGGCTAAAAATGATTCATACTTTTCAAATATTAAATACTATTAGTTTGGCCTCATAGCCTTGTTTCTCTTGTGTTGCCAATTTCTTCATGATGACAAAGTAGCTGACATGAATGAAAGTTCATTCCTTCATTCAGCCCACTTTCTTCGGCTGAATTGTTCCTAAAGGTACAATAGCTGATATATGAAATGTGGTTTTGATGGCCTTCCAGATGTTCCACACATTTATCAACTGTTCTTAAGAGAGTGCAGAGTAAGGATGGTGTAATGGTCTGGCCACTTCTTCCATTATATCACACCACTTTTCCTTGTATGTGGCTTTTAAAAAAGTACACTATTCAGGGCAATCTTCGACTCTTTTGAATCCAAACTCTAAAAATTGCCTGGTTGAGGCTAAAGTCTCAAGCAGGCCCCAGAGAGCTCTTACTTTGTCCATGCTCATCAGCTCGCACAGCTGTTCCAATTTTTCTGTGCTCAGGATTTCCACAACATTGGATTTCACAGTATGTCCATGTTTTGTGTGGTTTAGAAATTAAACTAATTTGCAAATTACCAAATCTGATGCTTTTTCTTTCCCTTCCAGCTTTTGGTCATTTTTTTTTTTTTTTTAAGAACAGGCAGAATCAAAGAAAATAATGCACAAATCTACTTTATAAAATGATATAGTTGATATTTGGACCAGATATTTTTGGGGAAAAAAAGCTATGTATTTTGGACTTCTTTCTCCTCCCTGACACAGAAAGCCCCAAGTTGGTTTTATCTTTATTTGAGGAGGGGAGAGTACTACAAAATAAGCTGATTTAGGAAGTCAGGGAACGAAGAGGTTTCCCTGTTAAGGTTATAGTCTGGTACACAGGGAAAGAGGCTGCAGGCCTGCATTGCTAATTCCCCTTGATACTTGGACTAGGCGCTGTCTTAGGCTATACTGCTGCATGCAATGTTGTGTGCAGTGATCTGTGTCTATGATGTCAGGCAAGGGAGAAGCAGAAACAGAAATGAGAAAGTACAACATTCGAGAAAGCAAGAATATAATTAATATGAAAATGCCCCATTGTGCACAGTATGATCTACAGAGAGATGTACAATCCCAGGCCAACAGGCAAATCTTTTCCAAAAATAACATGACTCTTCTGCTACATCCAATCCTGGTCCTTGGAAGAACCGTAGCAAGGAGGTTTCCAATACCACCCCCAGAGTTTCATTCCTTCCTTCAGTTTCTCCAGTTTCTCCACCAGCATCATATAAGCTGTTCATTTAGGAAATGCCTTTCCTTATGGTTCTTAGGAAAAAAAAGAGGTGCCTAAGGGGGGGCTCAGTAGCTTACTGGGGGGTAGGAGGGGTCCAAGACTAGCACCCAATCTGGCAATTGATTCCTCAACCATACTGCCAATTTGTTTTGGCTAGAACATTTAAAGATGTACTCACACAGCTGGGTTTCCTTATTCTACTTCCCAGATTTCAGGAATTGTTTTTCCATTATTCCTAGGTACTTTTGGTGGGCATTTGAAGAGACATGTCAACTCAAGGATTCAAAAGGCAGCAGGTCCATCATCATCATGATCATCTATTTCTGCTTGGCCACACTTTTCTCTTTCTGTGCCCTCCGCCCCTACCCGCACCATTAAGCTGCCTTGTGTGTTAAAAGCCATACAGTACACCTCCTTCTAACCTCATCTTTGACGTCTCACAGGCCTGATGCTTTTTACCTAACATGTTTATATCATGTTTTAGTGTAATATATGATATACTTGCATGCTTGATGATGATTGCAGGTTACTCATGCAAGAGTCTAAACTGCTATTCAACCATGTCCTCAGATGTAATGACTCCTGGCTAGGAAGAGACGATGTTGCTTCTAAGTCAAGGTTTTTCAGAGCCTGACTAGTAAAGTTGGGTGTGAGTGTCTGGTTAAACACAGAGTAGCAATACTGGCCACTCTCTCTCTAGTTTGGGGAAGGCTGTTCTTAGGAAAGCCACTTAATCCCTGCTTGCCTGAAATGCTCAAGCTGCTTAAGTGGTACACTAACTACTTCCTCTCTATGAAACCTTTAGAGACAGCTGTTGCATTGACCATAATCTCAATTGCATTTTAGAGGGATAATTTCAAGGGGCTCCAGGTTGTTTTAGATGGCCCACCTTGAACAAGCTCTTGTGAAATTTCACTGAGCATCGACTTCCATTAGAAACAAAGGCTGTGCCAACACTGCAGTAAATGTATGGAGGGGGCATCCAGATACACAATGCAGGACCCAAAATGGGTGAGAATAATGGAGATTCTGCCCTAGTGTCTTAATACACTAGCTTATTATATTTGGCTAGTCTGACAAAATCGCCAGGTTTACCAACAGAGCAGGCAAAGTATAGTCTTTAGAAATAGGCATTTTACGGCCAGTGGCTAGTCTGTCCATGTGAATGGAATCCAACTTGGGCTGCCTTTGTCTAATTCTCACATTAAATATTTCCACTCATTCTTCTTCAGCACTGGTTCCCCGAGAGCATGTTCTTGCAGGGTTATGTGGCCATAGTGACAGGCCTGTTTACTGTCAGTGATTTTCTTGTGAGTATCCTCTTTAGAGACCTGAAGTGGACCAGTGACTCCACTGAAAGCACATGCTGCGCTCGCCCATCAAGTCTGTGGGAACCAATGAGGATCTAGACACATGTTGATCTCACTGAACTCAGAGTTGGTCTCCCGAGCATGGAAAAGACAGGCACTTTTCTTCTGCACGATAAAATTAGAAGGAATGTCCCAGAGCACAGGATGACTGTAAGTGGAATTTGTTTTAAATCAATGAATTTCTTAGGTTTTCTTCACAGTTGAGTGAAAATGAAGAGAAACAATATAAGAAAGCAGTATGGAAAGCTTCTGGCTCACGAGCAACTTCTTTTAGTAATGTCAGCTCCTTACCAGCTTTTTTGTTTTGCTTGTCTCATCTCTTATTTTGAATTGGGGGGAGAAAAAAAAAAAGACCCAACCATGCTACCATATTCCTTTCTTTTGAATTATTAGAGAAGGTGGTTAGCACCTGCACAAATATGGCTTCTGTGATTTGATTTGATCCTGACTGCACTATATTAGAATACAGGGCTGCTTTAATTAGCTGACTCTATTAGGGAGTCCCTGAGGGGACTGATGATTAGCAGGCAGTCCTGGGGGGACACTCAGGTACCTGGCAAATTGAGAGGTTCTGGGAAAAGGCTGGGGCCGGGGGCAAGGCCACACATGGCAGCCCAATCAGGAAGGGTTTTAAGGTTCTTACCCACCTCTAGACTGTCGTCCACCAACTGGAGAAGGCTTGGACCTCTTTCCCTTCAAGGCCGAAAATGGATAGTCTTTGATCCTATTCTCAATTCAAGCCCAGTCCTCTCTCTTCTCCTCTCACAAGATAGATTAGAAGAGAGGTGACTTAAGGAAAAAAATGTCAGGGGAGAGGTCCAAGGTGGTTTCCCTTGTGATTCAAGGGGCAGCGATCATATGGGCTCCCAGGGTCAGAAAAAGCTGCCTGTCCATGATATTGCACTCAAAGCTTAATATTAATGTAATCACCTTCTTTTCATTTTGATGTAAAGAATCTTTTTTATGGTCTTAATTTTTTCAACATCAAAGACTCCTGCTTCACCCTAGGTCACATGCCTGTCAGTGTCATGATGAAAGGCTGTGAGTAGCATTTGCTCTCTTGCCTGGAAATTGCCTCCTGAGGTTGGTGGGAGAGGTACAGACACACACAGTCCCAGAACATGATGCAGAGCTCAGCTGAATGCCAACATGGCCTTACCCATTCACGAACATTCTGAAATGTGAAATGTGCTGGGACTGGGCCACTTGCCCAAGCAGGTACTTTGACCTCCAAGCCTGTGTTGGCTTGGGGATCACTGTTTCTTTCAAGAATAAGGGTAGAGAATTTCTGCTGGACAAGGAAACCACAATGAACTCACATAAAAACAAAAGAATGGGTCTTGCTTAACAGCTGATGTCAACTCCCCGTACAGTAATTTCTTCTCCAGGGTGAAGTTTATGGCTATTTAACTCCCTCTCTACCCATGTACAATTCCATTTTCTGTCCTTTCCATTATATGAACAACAACAACAACAACAACAACAAAATAACCATTTCTCTCCTCTGGAAAATCCATAGTCTTGGATGTCTTAAAAAATAATTTTGGTAAGTTTCAACATTTTTGGTGAGAAAAATACTGTAGGATCTTGCCACAACAGGATCAAAATTAAGATCAATAGTCACACCAGCAGTGTGGAAAGATCAAGGCTCGAATCCTCTTAAGGCAATTGTCATAAAAGATCCTTCTCTTTTTCTGTCACAAGTTTATATATATCAAGCTTGGATTAGAAAGCTTGAAATCTCCACTTTTAAAAACATTTGGAAAACCTTGGTATTTCTTCTGGTGTTGTAATGGCATGACTTTGGACCTCTACAAGAAACAATAATCAAATATCCCTACAATGTTCCCTTAAACAATTTCTCATTGTTCCTGTGGCTTAACAAGGGACTCCCTTAAGAAGGCACGAGGTGCTTACTGCAATGACCTCAGAAAGAGATGAGCAAAACCAACATTTGGTGACGTAGCTTTCAAGAACTTCCTTCAGCACTAGTGTTGCAAAAGACGATGCAAGAAAATGCATCTTGCTGCTGTCATTCTCACATGGCTCTGTGTTAGTTAGTGGTCACGCTGGCTTCCTTCTGACGCAGTCTTTCTTTCTGTTGTTTGAGGAAAAAATAGGAGTTTATTATCATTCTTTGTTCTTAATTTTCATCTTTCTCAAACTTTGATAAATTTCTCAAAGTTTTGGCCTAGAATGATGAATAGAGCTGTACTCAATGCCGTAGAAATGAGAGTAATTCTATCCTTCTTTCCTGAAATCCTGTTACCTGCTCCTCCCAACCTATTCCCCTTGCTTTCCAAAAACAATGAATAACCAGCTAATCAATCAATGATATCCATCTAAAAGACTGATCTTTACCATGCGAGGCTGGTCTGTTCTCTTCCTCTGTGACAAAGGTCCTAACTTTGCAGTTACTCGAAGATTCCTCCTACCCCCATGCTCAGTCTACTAATGGAATTAGGGAATGCTTAAGAAATAGTTTCTGGGGAGTCTAGATAGGAAAAAATCACTGTTTCTAAGCTGAATACATCTGCGTATGGTCAAGATGGTGGAACTGAACAAAGGCTATGCAAAATGGAAGAGGAGCAGATTTAATCCATCCACGTAGCATGGAGGAAACTCCCATTTTACCATGGATGTTCTGCTCTGCTCTCCCTGAGCTTCCTGCCCAGGGATAGCCTTCTAAAGACGAAGGACATGAAAGGCTGCTGGCAAGATATAAATACAGACAAGAAAATACAAAACAGAAGCATGGATCCTCACCATTCTAGGACTTTAGAGAAATAAAATATTAAGCATAGTGAGAATGGGTGTATCCACTCTTGGAGTGAACACATAAAAGGCTTTTAAAAAAGAAATGGAAGAGGTATACTCCTTTGCATGGGGAGGCCCCTTGTGAACAGATCCTCAGCTGCTTGTGATCTATGAGATGTGATGCACTGAGTTACTAAAGTGGCCTACATGTAAACTCAAGCTGGTGATTTCTAAATATTTTTTTAAAATTCTATTTATTTATTTATTTGACAGAGAGAGACACAGCGAGAGAGGGAACACAAGCAGGGGGAGTGGGAGAGGGAGAAGCAGGCTTCCTGCTAAGCAGGGAGCCCGATGTGGGGCTCGATCCCAGGACCCTGGGATCATGACCTGAGCCGAAGGCAGATGCTTAACAACTGAGCCACCCAGGCGCCCCTCAAGCTGGTGATTTCTAAACACCCATCCTGAGTTTGGATCCCATTTCTGACTTGTGAACTTGAATCAGGAATCAGTTTACGAGCTCTTCCTGAATTCCCACCCAAATAAACAACAAAAGAAACAACCCTATCAAGTTGAGGACTGCAACTGGGAGCTAGCTCACAGTGGAGGTCACCTATAAAAAATGCCACAGTAGGGGCGCCTGGGTGGCTCAGTCGTTAAGCTTCTGCCTTCGGCTCGGGTCATGATCCCAGGGTCCTGGGATCGAGCCCCGCATCGGGCTCCCTGCTCAGCGGGAAAGCCTGCTTCTCCCTCTCCCACTCCTACTGCTTGTGTCCCCTCTCTCGCTGTGTCTCTCTTTGTCAAATAAATAAACAAAATCTTAAAATAAATAAATAATAAATAAATAAATAATGCCACAGTAAATAAACCCACTGTTTCCCCTTTGTCTCCAGGGCTGAATCCATTCTGCGTCCCTGGAAATAAGATTTGGCCATAAAAGTTAGGATAGAGGCCCAAATAAGAGGGCTGGGGAAAGGGGTGTAGGAGGACTAACGAGGAAGAAAAAAGTCAGGGTTGAACCCATTGCTACCGAAAATCATACAAGTGAATGTACTGAATACACCACTGAAGGGGCACAGAGGATGTGTCCATTCAGGAGCTACATGCACTAACTGCAGCTTTTCCTGCTCAAGCTGTAGGACCCCGACTTCTCCACATCTCACTCAACATTCATTTAGCTGCTGATGGGGCTGTTATGAGAGACACGCTAACCAATCAGCAGAAAAAAGAAAATCTCACTTCACAACTTAAACCTCACTTAGACGGTCAAAAAGTTTAAAGAGCTGGCAAATGGTCCTTGTAATTCAAAAGGATAAAAATAAGTAGCTGTGGGATACCAGGGCACAGGGGAGGTAGGGTCTGAAAATCAAACTGAGGAGAGCAATACTCCCATTTACCACTCACTGCTGTTCTCTAGGGAAGTGCCAACAAATGCTGCCAAAATTTGTAATAACAAGAAAAACAGCCAACATTTTTAAGCGCTTATTATACGCCAGACATTTTCTATGTCTCTCCGTTTCCTCAAAATCATCCTAAAGCAAAGGTAGTATTATTTCTCTCTTTTCCCAAAATAAGCAAAGTAATTTCATGAAGGTTTTACAACTAGTAAGTGGCTAAGCTGGGATTTGAACCCCAACACTTTGGGTTCCTAACCATTTAGCTATTCCGACTACTGTCTCTAACGTATAGGTAGAGCTTCATTGTGAACCTTCCCGAATGGTACTATGGACTTCCCACAGCTGGGAAGACCGACTAGCCTCCAAGTTTCTAGCTCCTGGAGAGACGTCAGGGGATCAAGAGTCTGGGCTGGTCTCTGTTACTCATTTGCAAAGTGATCCTAGGTAGGCTGTATCTTTCTGCATCTCGGTTTTCCCAATTATCTAAAGAGTATAATCTCTACCCCTTTCTTAAATGCTCAACTATTTCAGGAGAAATGTGCTTTGACATAAGGAGATGCTGGCCTGGGGTGTGGAAGGGTGTGAGATGGCAAGTGACTAAATTTGCTTGATCAGGAAATGATCTGTGTTGGGTTTGCTGGGAGAACACAGTAAGTCGTGTTTTGTTCCTCACTCTCTTCTTACCTAGGCTACTCTGGGATGGGAACTGAGAATCTGGATACTACTCATTCCTCTGAGTTTTATCCTTTAAATTCAGACACACTCCCGGATGCACCTCAGTTATAATGAAAAATCTTGAGGTTATGTTGAAACATGCATCTCACCAGACTAGCCGTGGGATTGATTTTCTTTGTCTCCACTTTCTTCTCTGATGTCAGCTTGCTGACTGATTCCTGAGCCATTTTCAATCTGAAATCGAAACAGGGAGTGGGGAGGGGAGAGGAGCAGGAGGGAGAGAGAGAGAGAGAGAAAGAGGCCAGGTTAAACAGTATCCAAATGCTTTTGAATTAACCAACTGACAGTTTGGAAATAAAGAATGGGTTCTCAATGCCTTTAAATGATCAAATTTGAACTCTAATCAGATGTGAAGGCATGTTTTCTAGATTATCAAAACTGAATTTCCTTCACTGGCTGAGGGTCTCACCTAGATGACCTCAGGTGACCAATGCAGGAGCTTCTTCGGATCTATGGAATGCTAGGTGCACTCACTTTACTCTCAGAACACTTCAAGGCTCTCTGGCTTGTGATCCACTCAGTAGATAATACAGAGACAATTTTGAAAATTTTGACAGTTTTGAGGAAACATATGAAAACTACAAATATTAAAATATACCGATTCATGTCAATAAAGTAAAAAGGCAACCCATAAGATGGGAGACAATCTTTGTAAATCATATATCCAATATGGGACTTGTATTCAGAATATATGAAGAACTCTCATAAATCCAATAAAAAGACAAACTGCCCAGTGAAAAAACAGGCCAAAGATGACATACAGAAGGCTAATAAGCCTATGAAAAGATGCTCAACATCATTAGTCATCAGGGCAATACTAATCAAAGCCACAAGATAACACTGCATAGGATGGCTGGAATTAAAAAGAAAGATAGTAACAAGTAGGTACAGAGGTGGATGAAATTGGAGCCCTCATACATTGCTGAGGGGATTATAAAATGGTGTAATCACTTTGGCAGTGTTTCAAAATGTTAAGCATAGTTATCATATGACCCAGCAATTCCATGGCTAGGTATAAATATATTGGCACATCCAAGAAAATGAAAATATATGTTCATACAAAAATTTTCATATGAATGTTTATAGCAACATTATTCATAATTGCCAAGAGAAGAAACAACAGAAATGGATAAACAAAATGTGGTTTATCCACACAGTGGAATATTACTGGGCCACGAAAAAGAATGAAGTGCTGATACACGCCACAGCATGGAAGAGCCTCGAAAATCTACATATCATATGATTGCATTTATAGGAAATGTTGAGAATAGGCAAATCTATAGAGATTGAAACTGGATGACAAACCAGAGGTTGGGGTGGGGGACAGGGGGGACTGACTGCTAATGGGTAAAGGGGTTTCTCCTAGAATTAGGTTGTGGTGATGGTGGCACATCCTGGTGAATATACTAAAAACCACCAAACTGCACACTTTAAACGGGCAAACTTCACAGTATATGAATTATAGCATCATATTTGCACATCCAATAGTTACACAATATCAACTCTCATTGAGGACATGGGGAAATGGGAAGCGCCAAACAGTTCATTAGGGAGGAGTGTAGATTGGCAGAGCTGGCTTTGGCAATATCAGGTGAAACTGAGAACATGCACACCCTATGAGCCATCAGTTCCTTCTAGGGAGAGAACAAGAAGAAACCTACATATGTAGACACAGGGCTTTCTCTGGGGCAATATATGCAATAATGACAAATTGGAAATAACCTAATGATTATGATCCTTAGAATAACAGATAGATGATAACAGCAAATAATACCAGCTAACATTTATTGGGTGCTTACTCAGTGCCAGGTACCATTCTATCTGCTTTATTTGAATTCAACCATTTAATTCTCACCTGGCCTGGTGAGATGGAAATTTTCGATATTGCTATTTTATAGGTCCTAACCACCTTACAATGCTGCTTATATACTATGCTCATTTAGTGGAATATGGTATAACTGTGAAAAGGAATGAACTAGATTTACAAACTCAACAATTACAGATATCAGAAACATGGTACTGAGAGAGTGAAGAATTCTGTAGAGTGATATATTGAGGAGGCCATCTAGCACGATGGTCAAGAGCTCGGGCTCCAGAGCCTGATGGTGGGATTAATTCTTGGCCAGGCTGTGTGACCCCGGGCAAGTAACCTCTAATAATAATAGTGCTGCTCCATAGTCATTGAAAGGACTGAGACTATCTCTACTGCAGCTCCAGGCACAGTGTAATCACTCACTATAGGTTTCCTACTGTTGTTACTGTGTATGTGGTACATATACAAACAGTATTCACAAAACAGTATTGTTCATGGACGCGTGCATGTGTGTATAAACACACATACAAACACCTACCTATATTTATATAGAGACTGGAAAGATACTCACTAGTTTTGTGATAGAGCTTATCACTAGAAAAAATGGAAGAAGAGATGGCATTGGGTCAAATAGAATTTCACTTTTATCTATAATATTTTGTTTTTTTATTATAAAATATTGAATATGTAGCAAAATGTTAACAGTTAATTCTAAGTGGTGGGAATATGGATGTGTTATATTATCCTTTGTATGCTTCTTTATTTTCAAATTTTTTTTCAAAAATACTTTTTAAATATTAAATAAAGATCTAGCAACCTAGACATTTAAAAAAATGAACATGCTTTTGCTTCAGGGTCTCAAATGAAAATCTTTTGCTCAATATCAATCACATACTTGCTTAATATCAAAGAAGTAGCTGAGTGCCTTATTTCTTCACTTAGCTAATTTTACACAATTTACTTAAAATCCATGTTTAGTAATCCAATCTCCCTGCCCACATGCACAAGTAGGTTACAATGAATTCAACGTGCTGACTGGTGTATCAGGAACAAAATAAAAATGAGACAAGATGAGTAATGATTTATATAACCTAAGAAATACATCTTCAGAGCTGCCTGGAGAATGGGCGCTTCTCAACACTGACATAGGTCTGAGAGGATACACCACTGAATGTTTCTAAACGTTTCCATTTGCAGCAATCACTATGACTATACCCATACAAGAAGAGAATGCACCCCAAGGATCAAATCCAGGTCAGACTACATCTGACCCTCTGACTATTAAGGGACTTGCAAATCAAGATGATGATGCTGTAGATGAGGTCACAGTTTGTAGAATTGCCTCTTCTTGGCTTCTCTCTAGCAAGATGTGTTTTCAAAGAGCACATTTTATCACAGTGACTGTTTAATCCCAATTCCAATGAAATGGTTTGGAGTTACTATTGCCCCCCAGGCCTCCTTACTTTTAGGGAGCTTTTGGCGGGGGTCATCTTTTGCTTTAGTGGTTCCTTTCCCCCTGAGGATTCTGGTCTCTTGTTTCAAAGTTGGTCTTGGACCATGCTCCTGCTCAGCACTGCCTTTCCCCAATTCCCACATCCCTCGGCAGCCCTGGAGCCACTCTCCATGTTCTCAGCAGGTCAGAGTGATGCCAGTGGTTGGGGGTGCGGAGGCAGAGGGGAGGGGAGCCAACCTAAAGTCTTGTCCCCACAGCAAACATTTTGCTACTGGTCAGTGATGGCTCTGAAGACTACAGGCAGTCACATACACACACCAGACTTGCCAGGACAACTCTGATCCCAGTGACTCCACCCTGCTCTTCTCCAAACATTCTCCTTCCATTTTATTATCTCCCTTTCCCAGGGCGCTCTTAGAAGTCACAACGGGGTGGGAAGAAGGCACAGCTTGGTGGCACTGAACTTCGGCATCGGTGAGACTTGATTCTACCTCTCGCCAGTTATTAGAAGACTTGGAGCAACTTAATCGACATTTCTAAATTTCAGTTTCCTTATCTATAAAATGCAGGTTAATGTCAACCACACGGTATTACTGTGAAGATTAAATGAATTAATATATGCAAAACAGTTAGTATCCCAGGTATATAGCAAGTGGTCAATAAGGGATAACCGTTACGGAATCTTCCATCACAGAGGTAAAGGAATTTCTTTAGAATGCATGACAAGAGTTTCTGACTACAAATGAAGTAAGTGGCACTATTAGCAAAGTACTATCTTGCAGGAATATCATTAAGATGTATCCTGAAAGCAAACCAAAGAATTCATTTTAACTTTTCAGATCTGAACACAGATTCTAAAAGTCGTATCTAGGGATGCCTGGATGGCTCAGTCAGTTAAGTGTCTGCCTTTGGCTCAGGTCATGATCCCAGGGTCCTGGGATCTAGTCCTACATTGGGCTCCTTGCTCAGCGGGGAGCCTGCTTCTCCCTCTGCCTGCCACTCTCCCTTCTTGTGCTCTCTCTCTCTCTTTAAAAAATAAAAAAAATTAAAAGCCATATCTAGAAGCTGAACTTTGGTGTAGGTATGGCAAAAATTCCTCAACCAAATAAAATAAGAGAAGCTACAGGCATACCTTGGAGATATTGTGGGTTTAGTTCCAGACCACTGCAATAAAGCCAATATTGCAATAGAGTCAAATCAATTTTTTGGTTTCACAGTGCATATAAAAGTTATATTTACACTATACTGTAGCCTATTGAGTGATAACATTATGTCTAAAAAATGTACATACCTTAATTAAAAAATACGTTATTGCTAAAACATGCTAACCATTATCTGAGCTTTCAGAGAGTTGGAATCTTTGTGCTGGTGGAGGGTGTTGCCTTGATGTTGACGGCCACTGAGGGTTGGGATGGCTGTGTCAATTTCTTAAAATAAGACAACAGTAAAGCTTGGCAAATCAGTTGACTCTTCCTTTCATGAATAGTTTCTCAGCAGCATGAGATAGCATTTTACATTTGATAGCATTTTACCCACAGTAGAATTTCTTCCAAAATTAAAGTCAATCCTCCCAAACCCTGCTGCTGCTTTATCAACTAATGCTATGTAATTTTCTAAATCCTTAGTTGTCATTTCACCAATCTTCACATAATTTTCTCCAAAAGTAGATTCCATCTCAAAAAACACTTTCTTTGCTCATCAGGAAGAAGCAACTCCTCATCTATTAAAATTTTATCATAAGATTGCAGCAATTCAGTGACATCTTCAGGCTCCACTTCTAATTCTTGTTCTCTTGCTTTTTCTACCACATCTGCACTTATTTCCTCCACTGAAGTCTTTTTTTTTTTTTTTTTTTTTTTTTTTTTTTGACAAAGAGAGACACAGCGAGAGAGGGAACACAAGCAGGGG